ATTAAAACCACTTTAAGATTTCATCTTACCCCAGTCAGACTGGCTAAGATCAAGAGAACAAATGATACTAAATGTTGGAGAGGATGTGGGGAAAGGGGAACACTCATCCACTGCTGGTGGGGCTGCAAACTTCTTCAATCCCTATGAAAAGCAGTGTGGAGAACTCTTAAAAAACTACAAATGAACCTACCACTTGACCCAGTTATACCAGTCCTTGGCATATACCCAAAGAACTCATCCTATCACAGAGACACTTATACATCCATGTTTGTTGCTGCTCTTTCCACAATAGCTAAGAGATGGAGGCAATCTAAATGTCCCTCAACTGACGAGTGGACAATGAAAATGTGGTTCATTTATACAACGGAGTTTTACTCAGCAGTAAAGAAAGATGAAATCATCAAATTTGCAGGTAAATGGATGGAACTAGATACTCTTATACTACATGAAATAACACAAACTCAAGGAAAAAAACAAAACAAAACAAACAAAAAAGTATGTTCTCCTTCATATGTGGATCCTAGCACCAAATCCTTATGAGAGAGTATGTTTCCAGACATAACTACAGGAACCAGGATAATGAAAAGGAACCAGGGAGGTAAAGGAAAAGAAAGAATCTGAAAGAGATGAACAGTAGAAAACAGGTGTTAACCAGGGAGATATGGATAATTATGGGGTTGTTTTAAGGGGAGGGGGAGGGAAGGTTATACAAGGAACCTAGGGAATAAAGGGAAAGAAGGAGCTCAAGAGAGGTGGAACCATAGGAGAAGGGTATTAATAAGGGAGAAATGGAAAAAACGGGGGCATCTTAAATGGGGAAACCATGGTGAAAGGGTTAGACAATGTGAGAGATAAACAACGCCTAGCTAGTTTTAGGAAACCAGAGGGAACCATATTAGGCCAACAACCCACTGACAAATTATACATACAACCAGATCAAAGAATGTAATATACGCCGAGACAAGGTTTATCAGAGAGCGTTTGGTCTTTGCCCAGGCTCTAGCTACATGTCTATAAAGAGAGTATAATCTAAAACTACTATAGGAGATCTCTTTATAGGTCAATTTTTTAGAACATTTCCATTTTTAGGAAACAGGATCTCAGAAGTAAATATTATGTAACATACTGTCTACACGCCCCTCTCCCTGCCCCGCTTCATGAGTAACTCATTCACACTTTTTACATCTCGTTTACAGAGTCAGTGACAAGGAAAGTTCCTTACTTAGTATTGTGTGTATCAATGGTGTGGAAAAGCTCATGTAATTCTTCTCCACTGAGAACTCCGTCTGCAAAATATGCTTTGAATTCTTCAAAGGACAATTTCCCATCATCTGAAACAAGAACAAAGAGAGAAGAAGAAAATCACTTCAACTTGGTATTCAGTCTACTTATGATTTTCAAACCTGAACCTAATGTCTCTGCTTGTTTATCTGTGTATATGACACACAGGCACTCAAAAAAGAAAAGTACAAGATGTTTAAAGAAAAAATAATTTAATGTATCTTTACTGGACAAACCATGCCAATATACTCTAAAGAAATGTAAGTTTACATGGTTTTGAGTATTTTTTTAGTTCACTTAGTCTCATTAAAAATGTTTAACATTTAAGGAGACATTTCACTAGCAATAATAAATGATATCCACACAACACCGCAAAGGGCTCAACAGAATTTTTATTCTTTTGCTTTCGAGATCCCATAGCTACGTAGAATCTAGCGGCGTGGCGTGGTGGTGGGGTTACAGAGTGAGACCCTGTCTCAAACAAACAAACAAACAAACAAACAAAAACCAAACAGAACCTAACAGATTTCAGGATAAATACTAGGTGTTTAATTAACAAGTGTGTGTTTTGATTGAATATATACATGTGGATATGAGTTATTATAGTTCAACAAACCATGTTCATTGTTGTATTCATTAAACTACAGAGTTCTTTAAAAGCCAAACACATTTTTCTTGAGATACAACAGTGAAGCACAATTAGAGCCTAATAAAGGGGAGGATATGCAGACATAAGCATAAGTATTTTTTGCACAGCTGGGGACAGTAAATTCAATAAGAGACAGATGAGCTTCAAATGTATGGGAATTTGAGTAATAGAGTCTTTTCATTTCAGAGCAAGAGGGGGCTTAGCATCATTACCCCTGACTTTGAACAAAAGCTCTGGATAAGCACAGATGGAAAAAAAAATACATTACTAACAGGCAAACTATCTATGCAGGGCACAGAAGCAGCAAATCCAGAGGGATGAAGGGATGTAAAGGGAGAGACAGACCATTCTTTTGGGTGTGCACTGCTTTGTCAGTTTTGCCAGAAAAGCTGACAAATAATTGTAAGTGATGGAATAAGCCTTTGTGTTTACAATGTGGGAACTCAGGGCTATGAAAGAATTTTCCCAGGGCCACAAAGCTCTTATCATGTTTTCCTACCAACAATTCTACAATGAACAAATAGAATATATCTTTAATAGGGGAATATATTATTTAGTAGGATCAGACCTTCAAGATTATTTGGAGTATTCACTCTTTTCAAGAGGTGCCTCCAGATTGCCTGAAGTAGTGTTAAAATGTAGGTATCTGGGTGCTGCCCAAGTGTCAGAATTTCACAGAGTGCAGAATGTGGACAGGTAAGACATGGATTTTTAACAGCCTGTATGGTTTCTCCTCACACTTATACCCAGAAGGGATTCCTATAGAGGAAGCAACAGGCCTAGATTACTTGATTTTTCAGATAAAGACTTAAATGCTAGAATATTTTCAAAGATCCGGGTTTGTGAAGTATAAAGAGCCTTGAGAGATCTTCATTTTTATTTCATTTTGCTTTTTAACTTAATAGCACAACACACCAATTTTCCCCTTAATTTTTGCTGATAGTTCACAGGACTAATGTGGCCATCCAGGTGATAAAAAAAAAAAAATACAGACCTGGATTAAGCTCAGAATGAGTTCCTGACCCCAGTGACCTCCTGGACTAAATCATGCTCAGCCATTCAACGCCAGAGCAGCCCAAAGCAAGAAGAAATTGAATGCCTAATCTGTGCTTGTGTTTAAGTGACTTATTCCAGTGTCATGCCTACATGATGTTTTAAAATTTTAGCCCCATAAAGCCAGCCTATTGTACTGTGTATCTTCTTACTTTGAAAAACTGAAATAATGAACTGTTCCCCACACAGGTCATTTCCTTTGAGGCTGGAGAGATGGCTCAATGGTTAAGAATGCTTACTGCTTTTGCAGAAGACCTAGGTTCTGTTCCTAGCACCCACATGGCAGGTAACAACCATCTGTAACTCCAGTTCTAGGAGATCTGGCTCTCCTCTGGCCTCCACAGGCACTGTATGCATGGGTGCACCTACATATAACCAGGCAAAACATATACATATTTAATAAAAATAATTAATAAATCCTAAAAGGAAACAAACTGCCAAGTAGGGGAATTGTACACAAACTAATCAAGAGCCAAGTGTTTGGGTGCATACTTATACTTCCAGCACTTAGGAGGCTAAGGCAGGAGGATCCAATTTAGGCTACAAGTGGACCCCTGCCTTAAAATAATAAGCCAAGTGTGGTGGCGCATGGCTTTTAACCTCAGCACTCGGCAGGCAGAGGCAGGTGAATCTCTGAGAGACAGAGGCCAGTCTGGTCTACATACTGAGTTCCATCCAGGCCAGCTTGGGCTACAGGGAGACCCTTTCTCAAAAAGACAAAAAAATACATAATAAATAAAACAAATATTAAATAAATAAAATTAAAGACAAAAAAGAGATAACACTATTTTCAACTCCACTACCGTGCTGTGCAATAAATGTGACCTCACAGACTGCTGATGGAGTGTCCCTTTGGTGAGCATTTAATAGTTTCAGGTGAGCTGAATGAGACAACAGCAGAGCTCAGTTGCTTCCTGTGGACAAGGTGGACAGTCCACTGCTGCTTTAGAATTAAGGTGAGAGGTTTCAGGTAGTAATACACATGCTACAAAATGAAAGCATTGGCTAGCAAGTTTTCTGACTTTAAAAAATAAGAAAAAATGCTTCCTATTGGGAAAAATGTAATAGCAGAAGGTAGGCATTAAATTGCAGTGCTGGTTTGAAGGGTGCAAAGTATGTGTTGAAAGCTGTTTTTATCACATTCACAATTCCTGAAAGTCCTCATGACGGATGCCACATTTTTAAACAAACAATTGCAGAGGTCCTGCTGAATAGTTCTAGACTAACTATAATCTTAACAAAAGCTTAGCAGAAAGGGAGAAAACATTCCTTTGTGTGAGTCTGCATTAATAAAGCAATTATAATTTTATTAATATATTTAATTTCAATATTCCTATTGATATTTTGTTTCAAAATGAAACAAGCACAGTGAAAGCTTGTTGTCATTGGCTCTGCTCACAGAACAGCCACAGCTTATGAGGACCAACTTCCCACATTGCAAATCTTAACTTTGACCACTAACATGCACAGGATTTTTAACTTTTCTCTTAGAATCACATGCTTCATCTCAGTTTTTCTGGGCATATTTGGTCCCTCTCCATTTCATTTGCTTTTTAAATTAAATTTCTTCATTTGCAGTTTCATACATGTATATAATAAACTGTCACTGCTCTCATGCCCCCGGTCTTTCATCTCCCTCCCTCTCCTGTCAAACTTGTTCTCTTCCTTACTAATCTGTTTCCCACATTCCTGTCTTTTTGTTTCTTTTGTATCCCTCTAGGTTTGACCAGGGCCATCTGTGTGGCTTTGAGACTCGAACAATCCACTGGAGTCTGGTGGGTACACCAGTGGTGACATAACTGAATATAGTGGGTCTCCCTCTCCCAAGGTCTATCGATAGCCTATAATTCAGCAGTATAAACTGTAATCCATGAATGATTGTTGAGAGAGCTGCTCTTCTGCAGGCCAAGTCCAAGTCATCTCAGCTGCTATGAGCTCCTGGTCATATTAGTTGTATCCTGTCAGAGGGTGGGTCCTTGCTGCCTTTCTCCATATTGTTCAGCTATACACGCTCTTTTGCAATGTTCTTAGAGCCTTAGAGGAGCTAGAATAAATCACTTATTTGGTGCCCGAGCCCTCATTCATTCAACATTTAGTCTCAGCTCCGTGAACATCTATAAGTCTCTGCATTCACTGCCATTCTCTTTAAGAAGCTTCTCTGATTAGCATCGAGAGTGTCCTTTGTATGAGATTTCAAACATAGATATATAGAAAGCAGTTCGATATGATCTCTATTTAGCTAACCATCAGTAGTAATTTCCTCCAGAGGGTCTATGGACTCCGGAGATATGGATCTTTAGCCAGGTTTACAGTACCAAGAATGGAATCCCTTTCTTTGAAATGAAACAACACAGGAGATCCTGGCAGACAGCCTGAGAGGGTGGGTTCCAACCTCCATCGGTGTAGCAGCTCTGATCTCAGCAGACAAACAGAGAATGCTGAGTTCTGGCCACCCTCTGGCCTCCCTCTGGCAGAACGGCCTGAGAACACAGGAGACTGCCTGAGAGCACCCAGATCCTGTCTCCATATGGTGAAGGAAGCTTGAGTATACCTGACTGGAACCTTAATTGAGCTTATATGAGCACTCCTCAATAGCTGATCTGAAGCCATCAGTACCCTCCAAATTAAACCTGAAAGAACCTGAACCTTGTACCAACCAGCTTTACACAGCCAATAAAGAAAGGATCTAGGCACCCTGATAATACAAACAGAAGTATACTTCAACATAATTCTTATATCAGAATCATAAACAACAAAAGAAATTCACATGCCAAAATCACAACGAAAGAATAAAATCAAAAGCCAAAACACTATGTCCCCACCAAACTCCACCAATCCTGTAGAAGAGTTCTATAAGAAGAACCCCCTAGAGATAACCCAGGACACTGAATTTAAAGCTCAATCATAAACATGATCAAGGAATTCAACGAATTTAAAGAACACACGAACAAACAAATCAAAGACCTAAAAGATGTAAGGATAAACTTCTGAAGGAATTCACAAAAGAGATAGAAACATTGAAGAAAACTCAGGCCGAAATGAATAAGAAAGTGCAAAACTCAATAAGCCAACTTGAAACAACAAGGGAAAGCCTCACCACTAGAATAAATGAAATGGAAAACAGAGTATCAACACTGGAGGATAAAGTAGAAGAACTGGGCCACTCAAGGAAAGATTATGGAAAATTTTAAAAAACACAGGAATGGAATATGCAAGAGATGTGGGACACCATGAAAAGACCAAATCTACAGATCATAGGAATAGAGGAAGGAGAAGAATTTCAGGTTAATGGTATTGACCAGATCTTAAACAGAATTGTAGAAGAGAATTTTCTGAAATTAAGGCAAG